AGCCAATCCACTTAATCTATCATCTGACATGGTTGATCGTAGATAACTTGTCATCAACTTCAACTTTGAAAAGCTTCTTTCCGCAGTGGCCACTGTTACAGGTATTGTCAACAAAATTCTGTAAGCAATTCAAGCATATGGGAAAGAAATATGCATATATTTTATTTACTCCAACACTTCAGTTGCTTTGTTGTGCCTTCTCGCAATGATTTTTTAAGCAATTGTAGTTCCGAGAGCAAGTCGATTGCATCAATATCGCTCTTATCTCTGTGCTTCAAAAAAATCTCAAGTGTGTCACAACAACGCATCAACATGTCATCACTAAGCCCCTTCAACTTAATCGATTCATACAAGAATCCAAATGTATTCTCGTATTTTTAAAATTGCTCAAATATGCTAGTAAGTGAAGAGATAGCATTATCGACAACAAACAAGAAGTAAGTTAGTTTGAACACATTTTCTGTTGATTTTATCGGTTCATCCCTAGCATTTTCATCAAATAACTTCTTTTTACTACAAACCTGAGTCTCCCGAAATCGGGGCTGAATATGTAATTCCACTGCAAACTCATCTTCTCTACACTCTTGAAAAAAAGAAACCAGACCTTTCAAGAGGGTGAGAGACGAGCTCATGTTCATATCTCTCTGTTGGAGCACTTTGCTGACTCTGTTTACCTTTTTGAGTAGCTCATACCATATTATCATGCCACCAAAAAAAATCAAAATTTATTTTCATAATTGCATATGGGCTTTGCATCACTCACTGTGCTTGGGTCATTACAACAATTGGTCAGGTGCTCCGATGCTTGTTTTATGTGTGGTGCCTGAAACTTGACTTCCCTTACACTAGCAACACGACTTTCCCAATGTGTATTTGACCATAACTTAAGAATGAGCCTATTTCCATCACGATCTTTAACATAAGTCTTGAAAACCTCCCACCGTTTAGTTGAACCTAAAGTCACATATATTTTACAATAAAAAGAATGTTGATAATCATAAATTACGAACATAATTACAAAATTAATAAGTTGATTGAAATGAAGTCAAAATATTAAGAATTTACTTGAAATCAATTTATAAATGTGTTGGACCACACCGAAAAATGTTTTTGCTTGTCGACAACTCATAACCATATCACAAAGTGCGGGGTTAAGGGAATGGCAACCACAAGGAGTATAAATTGCTCTATGATATTCTCGTAAAACCCTAGCTTGTACCCCTTTGTAACCCCCTTCACATTGGAACTATTATCGTAACCTTTCCCTCTTACATTGTTAAAATCACGGTCATGGATCTCAAGCAATTTTTTAATTTCATGAAAGAGAGCTTCTTCGACTGTCCCAATCACTTTCACAAATATAATGAAAAACTCCTCAACTCTTGTAAAACTTGTAGATACATTTACACATCTGATCACAAGTGTCATTTGCTCCTCGTGACTGACATCCGGTGTGCAATCAAGAATAACAGAGAAGTTACTTTGCACTCCTAATTACTTCAAGGATTTTTTAACTTCATTTGACAGAAGTAGTATCATCTCTTTTGAAAATTATGACCAAGACAATTGTTTCAAATCTCTTTCTTTCGTATGCGTCTGAGATGCTCTTCCATTATTGAATCAAACTCTGCAATCATACCAATAATCTTCAAGAAGTTTCCATTATTTTCATCTAAAATCTTCTCATTACTGCCACAAAAAGCTATATTACATGTAGCAAGAGTTTTCACAACAATCACAATTCTCTTTAAAATAGCTCTCTAATAATCCTCTTTATTCATAACTACTTTTCGAAACGTCAATGGTTACCTTTTTTTCTTAGTCTCACCTTTGCTTCCCACCATGCTTCCATGCTAAGGATGTGATCGATGCTCTTTTCATGGTGTACAAGTCTACAATGTATGTTGTGCCGATCATTATACCCTGACACACAATCGTGAGAGGGCTTGTCATCACACCTTTTTTGAATGGTACACAACAAAAATAAAAGACTTTATTTTTTGACAAAGAATAAATCAACCATGGCCTATCATATTTCCCCCCATTTCCCAAGCATCGAGTATAAAGTTTGTCATTGAAACTCCGTTTGCTATCAACGGGATATTCAATACCACTTATTCTTATTGGTCCTCTCTCTACTGATAAATCTCTAAGTTTTTGACAAATTGGTGCTTTCCAATTTCCGGGTCAAATAAATCATCTGAAATGACAAAAGTAGTGAGGTCATCTATATTTTCTTTCTCACAATTTGAATTCAAATCACCAACTAAATTCTCGTAATGATGATCTACCCTTTCTATCTCCTCATCCATGGTATTTGCACTCTCATTTTCATCACTATTCTCATTCTCACCATCAACATTCGTATTGTCATTGTCAACAACATTTGAAGAAGAAATAATTGTCTTTATATACCGATCCATAGACCCGGCAAATGACTTAATAACCAAATCCTTTCTCAATTTATTCTTTCTCTTTGTACATCCAAAATCAAATCTTCACTTACCCGTCATGACAAATGACAATACCTACATATTTAACATATTTATAAAAATGTAGAAATATAGATTAATAATTACTACAAATACTGGTCCTAAACTTACTAGTGCAAACTACTAGTGCACCAATCCTAAAAAAGACTAAAAACTAAAGTCAGACATAAATAGCAGAAAATATTAAACAATTAAACTAGTAGTCCTTAGTCCCCCACTTCCCTGCCAGTTTTTTTTTGTTTTTTTTGTTTTTTGAGAGAGAGCCCCCTGCTAGTTTATTAAAATACGCAGTATAAGACATAAACAAAAAAATAAAAAAGTTCTTAAGTCATAAAAAGTAAAAACTACAAAGCTATAAAAAGTAAAGTCGGTAAAGAGCAATTGAGCAAAGTCGCAAAAAAATAATTCAGGCAAGTAATTGGCAGAAGATGGATAGAATCTACAAAATTGCTCAATTAGGGATTACGGTCACACCTGATGTTTATTTTCTTTGTATTGTAGCTTATTGCTTAAAAAGAAAAAGAATACATGTACCATATAATTACTGAAATGTCAAATTTTCATTATGAAAGTTTCCATTACTATTACTCAAATGTCAAAGTTCCATTTTATAAAACTTTCCATTGCAATTACGAAATGCACCTAACATGCTAAATATTCATTGAGCAAGTTCATATATACTACGTATAATTTATCTCACATTTATTTAGCTCATTGTAAAAACTGGGCACAATATTTTAACGTAGTAGAAGACAATAGTTTTTCGTCAATCATGCCTATCAAGACTGTCAATCTCAACGTAATTCAACCGGGATGGATCAAATGGAGGATTCGTGTACGTGTGATACACTATCGCAAGTTACGGAGTACGAAGAGCCAAAAAATGTACCTTTTTAAATGTTTAGATACACACACATCATTTTTTACTCCAAAAGAAGAAATTATAGAGCAATTAGAAACATGAATACACATATGCATGTACGCACCTTCATTTTCTTTTTTTGAAACTTGCATATTTGTAATTGATTTTACCAGCAAAAATGAATTTTTGATTCACAAAGGAAAAAATAAAGTAATTACACAATAAAATTCAAATTTTTTTCTTCACAGAAATGCCAAAAGTTGAAGTGGTTGAACTCAAAATGATTAATCTGCAAGAAATATATTTTATAGAGGAAAAAATATCTTTGAACAACATTTTCGTATTTACTCTCACTAACGAAAAAAAGTAGCTAGATAGATCCAGAAAGTAGAGAAAGAATACAAAGAAAAAAAATGTAGAAGTAAATAGATCTCGACTTCATTAGATCTAATAATAATAATAATAATAATAGGGTATATTTCTTTTTCCAAACATGAAGTGGAATAATTAACTTGATACAATCAATGTAAAAAAAGCGGGATAATTATTTTGGTATGGAGGGAGTATAATGAAAAATAGAAAATTGTTTCAACCATTTGTTCTATACATGAGAATAACAAAAACATACAAGAAAATATCAAAACATTGCAGGGAACTTAATACTACATAGTACGTAGTGATCAATCTTCTTAAAATATAAAAGCAAAAGAGTCAAATAAACTCTTCGATTGTTTCCAATACATCGCTTAAGTTCATATACTAAAGAATATATCATATAAGCATGTTTAGTGTAAAAACGTCGTCAATCAAGTCATTTTAATCTTTTATAGCATAAAGTTAATTTAAAGAACAATTGATTAATCTTATAAAATTCATATAAATTTAAAAAACAATGAAATAATAACAATATAAAAAATTGTATTAGTTCAAAAATGGATAGATAATTTTCACACGTTATCATACAAAATAAAAATAGAAAAAAGACAAAAAATAAAGTGAAAGTGTAGATACATAAAACTAAACTCTAATAACTTTTAAAAAGGTGCAGAATATACGAAGAGTCCCAAAAATACAAAGATACAGACTTTGACATTATTAAATTGCGCACAACTTTTATTTATCATTCTTCAAATTTTAATGAATTTTTAAAGTTTTGTAATACTATATAAAAACATGTTATTAAGTGATGAATATGAAATAATAGAAGAGACTATTTAACATTTTCCTTTTTTATTCAAATAATTGATCATTATGTACCATTACACTGTGTAATGGAATGTAATTCAGACATGTTATTATTCAACTTTAGATATATCCCATGCATCGCACAGGTACTTTGATCAGTTTTGTGGCGTTGATCAGGTTGACCCGTGACCCGGTCTGGTCACTTCCCAATAAGATGATTTTTTAAACATAACTTGACACTAAAATTTTGGAAGGAAGAAAGGAGCAAATTTTCACTTGGGAGAAAATATTAAATATTTTAATAATTTAATAATCGGATGGTATTTAAATTTAAATTCAATAATTGGAGGAGTGAGGGCATAATCTAATCCAATGATTCCAATCCCTTGAATATAAATAAATACTTCAGTGAGCTAATGCAGCCAATCATTTAAAGCCCAAAACATGGATAGCAGAGGAATAATAGACCGGGTTTGGGTCCGGCCCAAGGCATACACAACCAAAACGCCCTCGGCGCACGTTAGCGGTCATCCCCGTTGTTTCTGGGTCCTTCCATCGTTCCTCGACGCCCTTTATCTTTCTCGCCTTCGCTTGGAGTCACACAATCAACAATCCCCTCAACGCATCCCTCTGGCCGCGCGGCTTCTTCCTGTCTGTGTTCGTACCTGCGGATTTGCCAGATCTCCTCGAAACTGTGATCGATTTCGGCGTTTTTGATCGATTAAACCGGTTTCTCGACATGTTTTATATCGATTGAGGTATTTACACTCCGATTTCATTCTAAATTTATTATTTTTCACGATTTCCGTGTCTGCTTGTTTGATTTTACAGCCAATGTTCCTTTTATCATCATCCGGTTCTCCAATCTGATATTTTTTCACGGTGTGTTCCTCGATTTTTTATCACAATTACGTGTAATCGAAATTCTTATCGTGATCTGGGTTTTTTTTTTTAAAAATCGAAATTTGGAGGTGTTCCTCTTCTCATAAGCAGCGCGCTTATCACAATCAGTGAGATCTTTATACATTTGACCTGAAGCTCCATTGTATTGTCTTGTAAAGAGACGAGATCTGAAATTTGTTTTTTCAAAGATCCAGATTTTATGATCATCCGGTTCTCAAATCTGTAAATTTTTCACGGTGTGCTCATCGATTTGTTATCATAATTCCGTGTAAAATTTTCAGACCTACTTCTTTCGTCACCAATCAATCTCTGGTTGTTTGAGTTCTTTTTCGTGATCTGGGGTGTTAAAAAATTCGAAATTTGGAGGTTTTCCTCTTCTCATAAGCAGCGCGCTTATCACCATCAGTGAAATCTTCATACATTTGACATGAAGCACCATTGAATTGTATTGTAAAAAGTCGAAATCTGAAATTTGTTTTTTCAGTGATCCGTATTTTATGAGTTTCAAACAACAAGTTAAAAAGCTTACGGACTCCTCATAAATTTGTTTTGTTAAATATCCGGATTCGATTTCCTGAATTTCACAAGTCAATAAAAAAGCTCTACCTGATTGGTTATTTTACTATTGCAAGTTTTAACCAAAACATTCCCACAACATATCCTGAGTTATTAGGGCTAGTTCCATTTTTTGGTTTGGAGACTGGATTTGTCCTAGGGATTTGTTTTATCTGTATGTGAGTTTGACCTTGAATATTTGAGATTTATCTACAGTTAGTTGTAATGATGCTCTGCAGGTACCAGGTTTTCAGCAATCTGTAGTCATATTGTTGCATCTGAAGAAAAATGGCGAGATATGCAAGTGAAGTAAGCTTCAAGATGCCTACTATATGTCGTTTGGCTATTATTTTCTTTCCAGTTATGTGCCTGAAGTACGCTTTATGCAGGAACACGAGGGATTGGACTATCTGGAACTGCGGAAAAGGCTAAAAGAAGAAATTAGAAATAACATGAAGAAGGAGTCGGGAACTGCTACTGGCTCACGCAATATCAAGAGTTCTTCATCCAAGGATAAGTAAGTAATTTGGATATGGCCTATTATATGTTGAAGTTTTGGAGGATTGCTGAGGTTATTCTTGATTACTGTGAAATGAAGCACACGTCCCTTCACTATATCCTTACTAATTGTTATACTCTCACCGTCGTATAAAATTCTTCTCATTTTGGGGTGTCACATTTTTTTTTCTCATTTTCTTTTATGAAAAGTTTTGTGTGTCTAATATTCATTTACCTTTTTTCTTACTCATCTACAACCATACATTTCTACTTTATTCTCACTTTCTTAAACTCCGATCCAAGTCAAACTGGGAAGAATTTTATGGGGCGAAGGGAGTAGTTAGTTTATTTGATTTTGTTATTCGCATTGTAGCGTCTTATAAGTAGGATGCTAATTGCTTTCTTTAAGCTAGCTACCCAAAATGTGTCTTTTTGAGGTCATAGTGTGTATCTGTTTACTTTTGTGCCTAATAAGATGGCTGGCAGATACTATGCATTTATGCCATTTTGTGTGTGCATTATATGTTGGAGTGTTTTTTTTGTAGAGAAAAAGAGTTCCATTTTTAAAGCCTTGCTCTCACTGTACTTGCAGTTTCGGTTCTTTCTTTGGTCCATCACAGCCAGTTATAGCTCAAAGAGTAATTCAAGAAAGCAAGGCCTTATTAGAAAACCCTGATTTGGCAGCTAAGGTCCTGAGGACCAGTAATCCTGTATGTATTATATATATCACTCGTATTTAGTGCTTATTTGTTTTAAAATTGAATAGAGCTATCTTGAACTAACTTGTTTTCATTTTCAAAGGTTGTAGCCTTCTTAAATAACCAATGTTTGATGAAGTATAGTCTGACATTGGTCTTCATGTCAGGCCAGCCTGACGGGATGCTCCGTCCGGCCGAGCCCGTTTGGGCACCTTCCGGTGAAATTTTTTGATAAATTTTTTTGAGCATGTTCCTCATCAAGTCTGGTTTGTCCATACCAAATTTCAGCTCAAAATTCGATCGGGAAGGCATTCAAATCATTTTTTGAAGTTGACTGCGTCAAAATATACATATAAAACTGCAGTCAACTTCAAAATATTATTTGAATGCCTTTCTGATCGAATTTTGAGCTGAAATTTGGTATGGACAAACTAGACTTGATGAGGAATATGCTCAAAAAATTTCATCAAAAAATTCCACCGGGAAGGTGCCCAAACGGGCTCGGCCGGACGGAGCATCCCGTCAGGCCGGCCTGACATGAACTTTCCTCTGCTTATATTTATGGTTCCTGTTTCCTTTGCAGAATGGCAAGGTTCAGGGTTCGAACTCTGTTAGACCGAAGGCCAATACCAGTGGCAGTGCACCAATTGTTTCTGATGTGGTAATCACTTATTTGATGCATGTTGTGCATCTTTTTTTATAATGCTTTTTCTTACGTAGATCTCATCGTGTTTGATCTGCAGGCAAAAGTGAAAATCCAGGAGGTAAGGAACGCAAGGGATTACTCATTTTTATTATCTGATGATGCTATCCCGCCTCCTGCTCCTCAAAAACCTTCTTTTCCCAAAAAGATCTCTGCTCCTAGTCCTGGTATGTCTTTTTTTCTATTTATTAGTTTGACAATCATATCTATCTAATACACATAGTACTTTATGTAGACTTATACAGTTATTTTATCGCATTGAAGAATCACGCTCAGCACAACCTTTACCAAGGGATAGGAATCTCTCTAGCAGCAGCGTTGGGAGAAAACCTCCCAATGGCCTTGAAGTGAGGAGGCCTCCAGTTCCAGGTGGCACACAATTGAAACCTGAAGCTGGTTTACATAAACCGGTCAGTGTCAGCAAACAGAATCTTCCAGCAAGACAACCTATTAAAAGCAATGTCAATGGTCGTGCTCAGCTGGTACAGAAAAACCTTCCTTCAAAGGCTTCAACGTCAGATGTTAAGAGACCATCGCCTATCTTGCCCAGATCAAATCCTTTGAAACAGCAACATACTGCCAATTCAAAGCAAGCTTTGATGCAGAAAAAGTCATCTCAAGAATCCAGCAAGTCTAAGATGATTCAGAAACCATCAACTGGGGCATCCTCAAGATTCCCCCCTGTGGCAATGCAGAAACACGCAGTGCCCTCCTCTAGACCTCATGTGGTGATGCAGAAGCGAGTGGTTCCGTCCTCTAAATCTCAGGTATTGTTGGGCTGTTGTATTAACCAGTCTATTCATCATCTCCATTTGCTGTCCATTGCTAAGCTCTTCTAGTATTTGTACATAATGTAACTATTTTGATACTGGCAGATGAATCAGCCTGTTATTAGAAATCCAGACCGTCTCCCAACAAAAAGACCCGTAAGAGCTGATGATGAATATGATGATGGGTATAGTAAAAACCGGGAGCGTCGCCCAGCAAAAAGACCCGTGAGATGTGATGATGAAGATGATGATGCTACCAACGCGATTATGCAGATTAGGAACTTATTTGGGTAATTATCAAATAACAATTAACATTTTGTTTTTAGCCTTGTGGGCAAATGATGTCTTTTAGGACTAAAGTTTGTAGTGTGTTTTTATATGCATTTATAGTTCTGAAATGATTTCGGGTAACCTGCTTTTGCAGGTATAATCCCAACAAGTATGTTGATGATGATGATGATCGTAATATGTTGGCAACTTTTGAAGACATAGAGGAGGAGGAATGGCACAGGTGAGTTAAAATATTTAAAAGTTTTTTCTGTACTTACCACGGCTGCTAAATGTCTTATATGACCTTGTAATCAGTCCTAAATATCTTAAAAGTTTTTTCTGTATTTTAAAGTTTTAACAGTTACTTTTCGAAATTTTTCATCTTCCACCAACACACCCCTGTCAATCTTCTACAGTTCCACTTTTTTCCTTAAAATGTAATTTGAGATCTGTTTTACATCCAAGTTATTCCCCTTTCCCTTGTTTGGGCAAGTTTTTTTTTTAAATCTTGGGAAAATGTTGTTCACAACACATGAACATGCATGGCGTCTGAAATTGTGGTTATATATGTGGCTCTTGTTTCAGTGCCAAGATTGCCAGGCAGGAGGACGAGGAAGAACGCATCAAGATAGAAGAAGAGGAAAGAAGGGAACGGCTGAGAAAGGCCAAAAAACGCAAGATCATGGAACGGTAGTGAAGAGACACAATCTTGCACGGGGCAGCTTCTTTACTCGAAAGAACTGTGCATTGTATCTCAGATGTGCGCAGTTGTGCAGAGCAGGGGTTAGAAATAGGGAGGAAATGCTGCTGTTGTACAATGCTTAATGAAACACATGAAGGCAGCAGATTCTCCACATAGGCTGTTGTGTACTTCCTTTATTTAGTCAGGGGAAATTCAATTTATTTTATTTTGACGGCTTGCAAGTTGCAAGATCCATAATACCGTCCCTTTCCCTCACTTTCCCTCAGGCTCGAAGGACTCTTGGCAACATTTGTCTTTTTTCTTTGTAACATGTTCCAAAACTTCTGTATAGTATTTGTGCCAGAAGAGAAATTAATTTCACTATCAATTATGGTCCTAATACAATTAGGGAAAAATAAAAAATCTGTGCCAGAAGAGAAATTAATAAATGCCCTGGCAAGAACTGGTTTTCGAATTGAGAAAGAATTAAAGTGAAAAAGGTTAACTTTCATCGATTGATTGTACTTGAGTGCTAAAAAGAGCATGTACAATCAGGGATGGACTGGGCCGGGCCGAACCGGCCCGGAACCGGACCGGCCCGCTACTGTGCGGGCCCGAACCGGACCGGGCCCGGTTGGCCGGTTCCGGGCTTTTAGCCCGTTTTGGCGGGTCGGGCGGGCCGGTTCCGGGCCCTGTTTTTGTTGAACCGGCCCGGGCGGTTCGGGCCGGGCCCGGTTCATTTTTTTTTTTTTTTTTGGTTTTTTCAATTTTTTTTCTTTTCCTAGGGTAGGGCTGGGTGTTTTAGGGAGGTTTGGGGCGTGGGGGTGAGGGGGGGGGGGGTAGGGAGATAACAAGAAAGTCAAAAAAAAAAAAAAAAAAAAAACATTGAACCGGGCCCGGCCCGGCCCGGCCCGGTTAGGCCCGGACCCGGTATCAACCCGGGCCGGTTCCGGGCCCATGTAACCCGAAAAAAAGCCCGCCCGGGCCCGGCCCGGAACCGGAACCGGCCCGGCCCGGGTCCATCCCTATGTACAATAAATTAATAGTTCTGTACTTCTGTTTGGTTTAACCTGCAGTTCATAACAAATTGATTACTCTTACTCCGTATAAGAAAAATGTTGCTCATTTGAAATAAGCGTGACATTTTACTTGTTGCAGACTTGCAGACTTGCAGTTATGTTCATCATGTCAAACTTTATCAACTTAACACATTCCTTTAATACGTATGTTTCTTTATTCACTATTTTGTTGCGTTTCCTGATTATGCAATTCTCATTTGTTTTTTATTCGAGGACATGAGAAGTGTGTTTACACATCTAATATATAGGTGGATAATTTGTTTTACGGTTCAGTTTTTAATGATTAGATTTTATTTTATCCGATTTGGGAGATATAGTATCAAACTAAAATCATTTGTGTTTCGATTTGGTTTTAGATTCAGTTAGATAATCGTAAGTGAAAATGATTTGGTTCAAATTAGTTTGGTTTGATTCGATATTTCTTATATTTATTTCGGCTTGGTTTGGTTGCATTAAACCATTTTGCCCACCCCATACCAATAGTCATGTTTTAGGTTTATTTGATGGAGGTCCTTTCCCCCATAATTTGGATCCTTTATTGCATAATTTGTTGGAGCAACCATTTTGTAGGTCTAAAAAGGAGTAGAAGATCAGTTTCAATAATTAATTTTGTTAAGAACGCATAATATTCCAGCATGAAGGCGATGTATGTCATGGCCCTTGTTCCTCAAAAGGTCCTGATAATGACAGAACTAAATTCTGGTAATCTTTTTGTAAAACTGTTTTACAATAAATAAAGGCTTGAACGTTATGTTTTCATTTTTACCTGCAAGGGATAAAAAGACAACAGTACAAAATCAAGTTATATTTACCGGGACCAAAATCATATTTTAGCCAAATGAAAAAACAATTTTTTTCGGCAAGGGACTTAACACATGGTTAAGGGCCGGGGAACACCTTACCTATTTATTATGGTGGGGTAAGGGCCGGGGAACACCTTACCTATTTATTATTAAAAAATTAAGAAATAAATGGTAGCGGGACTGTACCAAAACCTACTAGATTTAAACGACATAAGGGTAGCCAATTGCATCAAATTTTACAATGCCTAGAAATTTGTTGAAAGTGACATGGTTGCTATCAAAAGAATTAAAGTTAAGAGCCACAAAGTGTGTTGCTTTATTACAAACACTTTTGGAGTAGCTAAAAACAATGTCGTCATCTTCAAAGATCTCTTTAAACTTCAGGTAACTGGATATAGCTTTCCATCCCAAACGTTCTTCCCCTTTAAGAATTTGAATAACCTGTAATTTGTCACATTCGATAATTACTTTAGTGTAGTTTTTTTCCAAGAGGAAAACTTTAAGATTTATCAAAAGATCTCAAATATTCGAAGTGATATCCGAGTGGGAATGATAGTTGGCTTGATACATGATCATATCGGCTTGGTCGTTTCTGATGATATACCCCGAGGTGCACTCACCATCTTTATCATTCCCAATAGAGATATTGATTTTAATAAAACCAGTGGGAGGCTTATTCCAACGAGTTCCGTTTATTCTTGTTCAAAAGAGGATTAATACACATGATATCTTTAATCGGGGTTATGGGCTTTAGTGAGGACTTAACACAAATCAAGCTATATTTACGGGAACTAAAAATATATATTTGCCAAATGAAAAAATATAAAACACAATGTTTCTAATTAATTTATTTAACTGACTTCTCGGTTGAATTTTAAGCTGAAATTTCATGTACTTTACACTATAAAAAACATGATCATCACCATTACCACAGTGCGGCAAAGGCTTCCACCTATGGTGGGGATGGGGGGGGGGGGTCGGATGTACACACTCTTACCCCTGTACTAAAGCACACAAAAACCCTGTACTAAAGCACAAAAAAACTGTTCCAAAAAAGTGAAAACCGCGTTGCAAAAATTCTATGCACTGATTGCTGCTTCATAATAAAGAAGCGCATACAGTTAATGAGTCAAAAAATAGTGAGTTTTCGCTTCATTGTAAATGATGGAAACACTTTATGAAAAACATATGGGACATCTATTGATCCAAAAAGTGGAATCTTCCACCCCAGGAGCCCCCACACCCCGACAGGATGGTGAATGAGTAAGTCACGGTGACTCAGTCAGCAAAGTGGCAGTAGACTATACACCCATGCGCGCCAAAGGTCCAACCTTATTTCAGGTTCTGTGACCTCCATCCGGTCGCTGTGGGGATTCGAACCTTAGTCCATTGATCCAAATTTCCCACCACTCGAACAACTGAGCTACCCGTACAGGTAACATATGGGACATCTTATACATTAAACAGTGTGCCATATTTACTTTCGACTTGGTGAATTTAATTGCAATGATGACTTAATCATTCAATCATTAATTCATGATTACTTACAACTAAGTTGAAAAGTTGACATAATGGATCACATTAAGTTGAATCAATTTTTTAAAGTGATTGTGGAATATATTTAATTATTTATACGTAGTATTAATAAATGAAGTTTTTCATTGATAATATAATATAGGAATAATATTAAATTGATTATTTTACTCGATTCAGACTGTTTATTCTGCATACATAATAAACATTCTAATATACAAATATCACTTAATCCAGACAAACTTTTTAATTTAATCCGGACTTAATAAAAAAGGTAAACACCTCTAAGATAAAAGATAAACTAAAGAAGACACAATTATATTATACGGAACGTTTTACAACAACAACAATACTACGGAGTATTAAGTAATAATAATAGTACTTCGTATTTCTTTCATCATTATTTTAATGCATGAACTGATTATTTCATTAAGTGTAACATAGTTTCACAATTAAATAAATTCATTTAGCTAATTGAGGGCAATTTGGTACTTCGAACTCTGGCCCGGGTGGAAAAGTCCAAAATGCCTCTCAATTTCATCCCCGCTTTTCTTGTTTTCATCATACATGGCAAACAGGTACGTCTCGATTGAGTTTCTCTTCACATGATCAATTAGTTTTTTGTAATAAGTTCCAGCGTTTTCCGGCGACGCGTCAAAGCCGCCGGCCGACGGCCACCCGCTCTCGGAGACGACGATTCTCACATTCTGGCCACCGGCCTTTTGAACCGCGGCCCGCATGGAATCGAGCATCGCATCAAATAGGTTTCGGTACCCGGCCGAATTCGGGTTGGTCTCCGTGAACAGAGCGTACGCCAGAGTGTTATGGGCCGGGTCGCCCTTCCGGCCGAAGTAAGGGTAAATGTTGGCCAGCAGAGGTGACCCCTTCTCGGCCAGGAATTTCACGATCGGATTCATCAGATCCTTCGCGTCGTCGTTGAATACCCCCTGATTCGGCGGGTAGGTGTTGGTCAGTACGGCGGAGTAGGTGGCGGTCGTTGCCCTAATTCGGCCCTGCAACCCGGCGGCGGACAAGGCGTCGTGCACATTCTTCAAGGCGGGGAGAACGTATTTGACGTATTGAGAGGAATCTGAGTTTTTGGAGTAGACTTCGTTCCCGACGGCGACATATTTGAAACTGACATCGGAATAAGGGACGATGTTATTCTGGACCCAGCGGGTGGCTCCGGCGGGATCGGCGAGTTCAGGGAGCCTGTCGTTGGAAACGTCGACGATGACGTCGATTTCGGTGCCCCTTAAAGCGTCGAAGACTTTGGAGTCGGCGCTGTAGACTCGGAGCGCTTGGATTCCGTTCCTCTTATAGAGATTTATGGTATCAGATTCCGATGGTAAGTTGTCGCCGTTCTTCCCGTAACAAACTCCGACCGATTGCACCCCTGCATACGATGGTTAACAAAATTGAGAACAAGTTTATACGTGTATACAATAGAAAATCGAATAAACATTGAAGTATTTAAATGAACATAACGTTAATATGGGGATCAGTTTGCAATTTTTACACATATACGAATTATAATCTTTTTTTGGGCTAGCTAAACATTATCGATTAATCATTTAATTAAGTATTCAACTTTTGATATGGTATCTTCAGTTAACTATTACGAAGTATATTTGAATCGCAATTTCAGAGATTAGGGAGGCAGCAAGTCAGGCCTCTGGAGGATTAATACTCCGTATTAGAGTTATTAGTTTAGAGATTTAGAATATTTCTTTTTCTTTTGTTAGACGATACATTAGCTAAGGATGCTTATTGTATGTTTGATAGTCAGATTTTGGGTGGATACACTTCTGAATATTGTGGATGTTTTGTCTTTTGATCTGATTAATGCCAATTAAAAGTTTTATTCAAAAAAAAGGTTGTACCAGATGTTATGATGAGTATTAATAAAACAGAAATATATTTTGGAGCCTTTTTTCTAATTCTATTTTATACTCCCCCGTTTTTAATAAACTTCACACTTTCCTTTTTGGGACGGTCTAAAATAAATTTCACACTTCCTTATTTCCTTTTTTGGCAAAGAAATCTACATCAAAACAGTGCAAAAAAGTGTCTCAACAGTGCCAATCAGTGTCTCTACAGTGCCAAACAGTGTCAAACAGTGCTTCAACAGTGTACTCTACAGTAAAGTCAAATTTCTTTTCTTATTTTGCGTGAAGTCAAAGTGTGAAGATTAAATAAAACCGGAGGGAGTAGTTTATTAGTTTTATTATATATTGTGTCATCACAAAAAATAAATTTTTTGATATATTTTTTGAAAAAATTTGAGAACAAATAAAAGAGTTATAAGAGTAAAAAATTTGGAATAATAATGATGCAGGGATGACATCATCCCCACTATCATGCGTGCGCCCCTACACTTCCCCTCCCTGTCAACCCACTCTTCATTTCTTTTTTGACTTTTAATAATTCGTACTTCATTAAAAGTTCATCTTTTGGTCCTATTAATAAACATTTTTTTCTCATTATGCCCCCAACACATATGTTTTCTATTAATAAATAGACTTTTTTTTTATACGAGCAAGACCTATATTAATTGGAAATATGTAGCCACCCTTAGACCTTATTGAGTAAGGGATTCAACTCACATGGACTTGGGAAACGCGTGTACAACTGTAATAAACTATACTTAATACTCAATAGGTAGCTCGATTAATAACAATAACTTTGGGAACTTGTTTCTACACATTTTTTTGGTGAACCGGTTACCTATAAAAAACATGTTTTTTAGAGTTAAGAATTCATTTGTTCCTAAGAATTTATAATCTCCAATCATTCTCATTTGATTAAATTGAAGGTCAATATTTTCAATCTAGGAGAGGAGCTCTAGTGACAAGCTAATTGAGACATCTCTCTTCAATTCATTGCGAATTTGGAAAGCAGTCATGACCGATCGAATATGCAGTTCTAATCCTTGAACAATTAAAATAAAATGGTCTCAGAAAAGTCATGTTTGGCTCCCTTAAACAAATGGTCTCATAAATTAACCAACATGGATTGTGCTTCACAACGAGTATTGTTTATTTGTAGCCGTTTTTGTTGAATCTCGAATCGTTCATATTTAGTGATTAACAACTCGATAACATGAGCTAATTAACTTGACGTAAATTAGTGCTATTATATACGCATTATGAGCCCGTTTGGTAGCACGAAAATCGGCTGTTTTGGCTGATTCTGCTGAAATTTATGAAATTCTGGCTGAAGTGGCTGATTTGGCCGATTCTGCTGATTCAAGAAAAAAATATTTTAAAAATATATTTTATCAATAAATTATAGAAAAAATTACATGTAAAAATAGCTAAAATAGTCCTCTACAGTAACTTCAGCCAATACAGCCAGAAAAGTAACTCCAACCTTACTTTTTCTGCTTATTACACAATTCAGCACACAAAAGTAAAAGTTACGTGTTTGGTGAAAAAGCTGGCTGATAAGCCTGATAAGCCGAAAAAAGAGGTCTCCAAACGGGCTCTATATATGCTTGTAGTTAACCTTAAAGTAGAAATGTTATTCCATATATGGATAATTAACTACCTTGTAACCGAGCAAATTAAAACCATCAACTTAGTTATGGATATTGGATTTTTTTCAACATTTTAGTTTCTTTAGTTGAACTAGCAACAATTCAGAAGTAGTTAACTGTCACACGTTTTAGTTTTCTTAAAGACTTAAATTTGCTAGTCTTGTTTGATTTGGTTTAATATGTTTACATCTTGTCTGGTCTGGTAAATTTATGGTTTCTGTGTATTTTATAATTGTCCAAATCTGGTCTGGTCTGGCCTGAGACTAAAAATAGTTCGAAAGAAAACATCCTAATGTGATCAATAATAGTACTACGTAATAATGTAATATATGTTTAATTTCTTGCCTGCTACTTTGCTTAAATAATTTAAGTAAAAACTAGCTAGAAGAGAAGCTACCTGTTATGTGTAGCAAGCCAATGAAAAAGAGGATGAAAGCCATGTAAGGGAAGGGATGCAGTTGATTCATGAGGCCGGCCGGGAAAGGAAACACCCAAATAATAAGGAACTAAACACTGAACAACTATAATTAAGAAAAATTGTGCATTTTATGTTTCAGGCGAAGCATGCTATATATATTCCACAATTTCTGACGGGTTTTAGTCTTTTAGACTCTTTAGCATGTCTGCATGTAGTACACCAATTTGGCAATTCAGGAAAAGTATAGTCAAATGAATTGAATGAAGTAAACGGAGACTAGCTAGCTACTAGCTTGCCAAAAATTAGGATGACCGGATCAAACCCCCTTTGTTTTATTCCATCAGTTAGCATCTTATTTTCGCTACTACTCTCCTTGAATTGTCTCATTATAAGCACTCGTCTTTGATAAGATGTAAAATAATTACTTTACATGCGAAGTGTAAGGACGTAGAATGTTTATACCGTTTGGCTTGATTATTTAATGTAAACTGTAGGACGTTTTTTAAAAATATTTCACACTTTAATTACCATGTAAAATATTTTACGTGAGTGAAGAGTGGTAAAATACTTTGCATTTATGCTTTTTATAAAGCACTGCAGTGCCTTTGCATGCAAATTAAAAATAAACTAAATATCTTACTAAACAATGTAATCTATTTTACATGCAATCCAACTGGGAGACGTCTAATTCCATGGTGGTGTCGTGGCTTCTTCGGAGTATGGAGCTTCCAGTCGCTGCGTCTATCCCATTCCACGAAGAGGCCCGAGCTCTCTGGGTCTATTTGGAGAAGAGATAGTGTTGCTAATGGTCCCAGGTTGCAACAGTTCAAAGCTTCGATCTCGGCCTGCAAACAGACCAAAACGATGACGGTTGATGCCTATTATACGACGTTAATGAGCCTGTACGATGAACTCGATCGGCTGAAACCATTGCCGACGTGTTCGTGTGGCAAGTGTACCTGTGATGTGATTGGGCGAATTGTACCGAACGAGCAAAGGAACGATTTCATCAATCCCTAATTGGAATTGATGACGACAATTTTGGCACGGTGCGCTCTAATCTGCTCTCTCAGGACCCTCTGCCTACTATTGACCGTGCGTTGCAGGCTTTTCAACAAGAGGAGAACTCCAGGTTGATCGCACGAAGCAAGCAGTCCGCAAGTGATGTCCAGGCTTTTACTCTTCAAGTTGACCGTGCTGCCAAGGGACGAGTGGACAGGGACAAACCCGAACGAACCCGACCGGTGTGTACACATTGCAAGCAAAAGGACATGAAGTTGACTCGTGTTTCAAGCTACACGGTTATCCGGAATGGTGGGAGGAACGAAATCGTCCCAAAGGAGGCTCTGCCGGTCGCGGGGGAGGGGTACGGACCCATGCCGTTACTTCAACTCTCCATCCCACCGGGGAAGGGTCCTCTTTTTCTGCGAATGTACTGCCGAGTCTCACAAATGAATAAGTGCAGGCTCTTTTAGGCTTGCTAAATACTGATTCTCGCTCCTCTGACCGAATGTCAGGTTAGTGTTCTTGTGTAGATAGGATTATTGACACCGGAGCTTCTCAACATGTTACAAGTGATGCGACTAGTCTTATAGATCTCGGTCCTATTGCCGCTTGTCCGGTTGGTCTTCCGGATGGGCGAACTGTGAGTGCGGTGTTAACCGGTCGAGTGCCATTATCCAAGGAGCTAATTCTTGATCACGTTCTCTACGTGCTTGGACTTCATTGTCATCTTATTTCTGTCTCACAATTGGCAGATCAGTCTAATTGTCTTGTCACTTTTACTCATCAATTTTGTTTTATACAGGACCTACGCTCGAGGAACCTGATTGGAGCCGGTGAAAGGCGGTGATGGAGTATATGGCCCGGGAACCCCCGACCCACAGACTCCTACTATTCCAGCAAAGGCCCAACAGGCCCAGGAAGCACAACAGGCCCAAGACACAGCGGCCCAAGCTCGAAGGAGCCCGAGGGGCGCCTGGGGTCGCCTTCGGCAACATGGCCGAAGGCTCCAAAATTCACAGGACAGCCAGTTTCGAGCATACGAAGCTACTGGGAGAAAACGGCAGAAATCAGGAGCCTTCGGCACTACCGTGCCCTCGGCATAAGGGAAGCCTTCGGCTGAACCAAGCCTTCGGGTACACAGACCCCTCGGCTGCAGGGAGAGCCTTCGGCTAATAGCTCAATCATCGAAGATTCCCTTTGGAGACAAGCAACCACCGCATTTAATGCGGCATCACATCCACCCACTGCATTTAATGCGGTGCACATGCATATGCCGGTGCCACCCGATTGAGGTGACCCCTCGGCTGTCAGATTGTTGGCACGTGTACCTTCATCGCATTTATGGCTGCTATAAATAGTAGCCCTTATTCTCCTTATAAAGCACGCAGAGTTCATTTAATACAATCGACTCTCTCTCTCCTACTTGTTTGCTCTGACTTCTCTCTAGGTTATTCTCATAATAACCCCTCGGATAAGCTACCCCCCGGGTACACTATCCATCAGGCGGGATGGGCTCTTTTATTTCAGAGGGGTGCTGACATTACACGTTGTTCAGACATCAGGCCTCTCGTTGTTTGAGATGTGGCATCGTAGAATGGGTCATCCTTCTGATCGGGTTCTCAAGTTATTACCTGCTTTTGTTTCTAGTTCTGTTCAGAAAACTTTGAATAAATCTTGTGACGTGTGTCCACAAGCGAAACAAGTGCGTGATTCATTTCCTGTTAGTAATAATAAAGCAAGTAGGATACTTGAACTTGTTCATTGTGACTTATGGGGACCATATCAGACTCCATCTACTTGTGATGTTGTTTATTTTCTTACTCTTGTGGATGATTTTTCCCGTGCCGTATGGGTATATTTGTTGCGTGATAAAAAAAGAGGCTCATCAATTTTTTTCTCCTTTATTTCTATGGTTGAAAAACAACATGATGTTGCTATCAAAATTGTGCTTAGTGATAATGGGATGGAATTTAATTGTATGCAATCTTATTTTGCTGCTCATGACATTTTACTTCAAACGTCATGCGTCCATACACCCCAACAGAATGGGAGAGTTGAACGCAAACACAGACATATATTAAATGTTGCTCGGATATTGATGTTTCAAGCCAGTTTGCCTATCGCTTTGTGGGGTGAATGTGTACTTACTGTTGTGCATTTAATAAATCGCACTCCGTCTGGAATTTGGGATGGGAAAACACCATATGAACTCTTGGTGTTTCCCCTAGTTTATCTCATATACGAGTTTTTGGTTGCCTATGCTACGCTCATAATATTTACTCACGAGGAAATAAGTTCTCACCCCGAAGTCGTCGGGGCATGTTTCTTGGATATCCTCATGGTAAAAAGGGGTGGAAGATCTATGATTGGCACACAGGTGAAATCTTTGTATCACGGGATGTGATATTTTATGAGGATGAGTTTCCGATATCAGCTCCTGAACATGTATCGGGAACTATTGAAGGGCCGGACAGTATTCCTACTCCTCCCTTGCTTAATTCTGAGCCAGGAGTTGTTATCTCAGCAGGGACCGACACCCCACCGATAGATCATGTCTAGGCAACAACCGAAGATGATCATTCTGCCACCGAGCTTCTTGGTCGTGGACTTCGAACACGACGTCCGTCAGTTCGCCTTCGGGACTTTGTTACTCATCTCGTCCAAAATGTGAGCCCATCCCCGTCATGCGCCTCCTCCGTCAGTTCCTCAGGTACGTCCTATCCTATAACTAATTTTCTAAAAAGTGACAAGTATTCTATTCGCTATCGGTCATTTCTTGGAGCTATACTTGCAGGGCATGAACCTCGTTCCTTTAAGGAAGTTATGACCAATGTTGGTTGGCGTGATGCTATGCAACATGAAATTCGGGCCTTAGAAGATAATCAAACTTGGGTTATGGCACCGCTTCCGCATGGTAAAAAGGCCCTTGGATGCAAATGGGTGTACAAAATTAAATACCACTCCGATGGCACGATTGAACGTTTTAAGGCTCGCCTTGTTGTGTTTGGTAATCATCAACAAGAAGGCATTGATTATACTGAGACTTTTGCTCCTGTAGTAAAAATAGTTGTTCGCCTGTTTTTAGCTGTTGCTGCTGCTAAAAACTGGGAATTACATCAAATGGATGTTCATAACGTGTTTCTTCGTGGAGACTTAGACGAGGAGGTCTACATGAAACCGCCTCCCGGATTTCTTCCTTCTCGGTCAGGGCTGTTCTACAGGCTGAAGATGTCGTTGTATGGACTTCGACATGCACCTCAATTCTGGTTTGCTAAGCTCACTGCTTCATTAAAGCAGTATGGGTTTCAGCAATCCTACTATGGCTATTCTCTTTTTACTTGGCACTAGGGATCAACTCAGTTATATATTCTCATTTATGTTGACGATTTAATTATTGCGGGAAATGATGGTGGTGCTATTTCTCGTTTTAAATCTTATTTACATAAATGTTTCCATATGAAAGATCTTGGTTTGCTAAAGTATTTTCTTGGGATAGGAGTGGCTCGTGAAGCCGATGGTCTTTTTCTCTGTCAGCGCAAGTATACTCTGGATATTATTTCGGAGGCAGATCTTCTTGGGGCCAAACCTGCTCATTTTCCTATTGAACAAAATCATGGCTTGGCTGTTCCTCAGAGTGATTTATTGACTGATCCGGAATCTTACCGCCGCCTCGTCGGGCGTCTTCTTTATCTATCGTTTACTCGTCCTGATCTTGTTTATGCAGTTCATATTTTATCTCAATTTATGCAGGCTCCTCGGCAAGATCATTGGACGGCGGCGTTGCACGTGGTCCGTTATCTTAAAGGGACCCCCAGACAGGGTATTCTTCTGAGCTCTACTTGTGATCTGACTCTCACGGGCTGGTGTGACTCAGACTGGGCCAGCTGTCACATTACTCGTCGCTCTCTCACTGGATGGATAGTATTTCTCGGTAATTTTCCTGTCTCGTGGAAGACCAAGAAACAACACACTGTTTCTCGCTTGATAAGTCCGTATTTTGACATGTGTTTGATGCGTGTTGGGATCGGTTTTGATGGTTTTCCCTAGCTTTAAGGTGTTGCAAGTCTCAATTTTAGCTCAAGTTATGTTTATCGGGCATTGGTTCGAGTTTTGTGTTGTTTGTAGTCAAAATCAAGGAATTTGAGCCTGGTACCGGCACTTGAGGAACAATCGGGATGATTTGAGAAGCATTTGAGAATGATTTGATAGCTTTGGAGGTCACCGGAAGATTCACGATGAAGATTTGAAGGAAAAAAGAGCTCTAGGATTGGCTTCAGGATCAAAAGAAGATGAATGAAGCTTAAAAACGACGATCAGAATGACCTTCTGTCAATCGTTCAAGCCTATCTCTTTTTATGAACAACCAATGGACACGACTCAAGTTGCATAAGAAAGCCAACTTCAAGGGCTACAAATCATATGAGGACACCTTTGCGAGAATCTGAGAGGAAGAAGGTGAAAACAGACGATGAAGTCAGATGATCTCTGTTGCGATTTCAGAAAGACACCTTCCACCGTTTTGATCATATCTCTTGATTGGATGATTCAATTCACATTAGGCAAATTGGGGTGGATAGAGGACTTCATTATCTACAACTTTCATGAAGAAAGTTTTGTCAAATTCGGAAGTTTTACGCACGCCGTGCGTAGGGGAACGCACGACCGTGCGTCTGAGGCGAGAAAAGCAAGGTAGCTACTGCCAGCTACGCACGGCCGTGCGTAGGGCCGTATTCATATTTTCCCCCCCCTTTTCTATAAATAAGGTCTCCCTAACCCTTTTTTATGGTGACGAACATTACGGAGAGGCCTAGGGACGAATTTAACACCGTTTTTACGCTATTTTCTTCCAAGACCCTGAGATTATTTGTAAGTTCATCTTTTTAATTAATGACAATTATTTCTATTCATCCCAATTCTGTTGATTCTTCAATTATGAATTGTGAGTAGTTTAATTAGGGATTTGGGGTTGATGAAGGGGTTAATCATGATTGATGACTAGATTCTTGTCGGTTTAATTGCATGAATGTCGTTTAATTTGTGTTTGAATAATTTAACTGATATCTCTTGTAAACTAGAACGCGCGCTAGAATTACAATTGCTTGTAGAATAAGTTAAGAGAGATCTAATTTATTCTAGGACACCTTCACACACACTTAATCGTTCGCTAAGAGATTAGTAGCGATTAAGGGGCCGTAAGCTCGCTCGTCTTGGCAATAATTTAGGATGTTGTCGCATGAGAGATCAGCCTGGTCCCCTAAATTATTGTACTCTACGCCGCGAGAGCGGTAAGAACTTAGTAATGATTAGCTAGGCTCAATTAAATTAATTTCATGTAATTAAGCCTGATCTGCCAGAAATCTGGTTACCCTGGAATCAATCCCTATTCCCTTCGTCATTAATTAGAGAGAAACCAATCTTTTTATTTTATTGCTCATTAGCATTAGTTTAATTTTCCACCCAATCAAATCTCGCACGACGCATTTATTTTATTTCTTTTTAATCACTGAGTTTAATTAATTCTTGATTCCCTTTTGTCCGTCCCTGTGGAGACGATACTCGTACTTACACCACTATATCACAATCTTTTTAAGTGCGTGAAAACTCACATCATCGCTCTTCAACCGAGGCTGAGTATAGATCCATGGTTCTTACAACGGCAGAACTTATATGGTCTAAGGGTCTGCTTCGTAGTCTTGGCATTGATCATTCGCACTCTATGGCCCTCTACTGTGACAGCATCTCGGCGCTCCATATTGCTCATAATTCTGTGTTTCATGAGCGTACCAAACACATTGAGATTGATTGTCATTATGTCCGCAATGCTATTCAAGACGGTTTACTTGTTGCTCGACATGTATCTACTACCGACCAACTTGCAGACAACTTCATTAAAGCTTTGGGCAAGCGACAATTTCTTTATTTACTTGGCAAGTGACAAGCACAATAGTTACCTATATTTTACATATGAAGTTGAATTTGAAGAAAATGATGACTTTGACGTTCTAAAGTGGTGGAAGTCAAAAGAAAGAATGTTCTCGATTTTAGCACGGATGGTTAAGCAAGTGCTATCAATGCCGGTTTCAACAGTTGTCGTGGAACAAAAATTTAGTTCGGTCGGCAACGTCCTAACGACATCTAGAACGAGATTGAGCGCAAACTCTCTTGAGACGCTTATATGCTACCACAATTGGTTGAAGGCCGCACGTAGAACTCAAGAAATGAGCATCACCCCCTCCCAAGACTTTATGGATGACTCAACAACCGATGGTGGCTCTACCTATGCCGGAGATTCCGATTGATTAGTATTTTACAATTTATTATAGAATGTATTTCATGTTTTAATCTTTCCCTCAATTCTCAAATGTAGTTCCTATTTCAAATAAATGCACTTGACCTTTGTTTTTAATAAGCATTTGTATAAACTATAAAGTAAAAAAAAAATTAAACTGACCCGGCCCGGCGGGTAGTCCGACCCGTGACCCGGGCGGGTGTCCCGGCCCGAACCGGCACCGGCCATAGCACGGGCCGGTCCTGGGCCTCCTTCAAAAAACCTGAGGCCCGGCCCGGGTCCATGACTAAAATTGATTACTCCGTATAAAAAAATAGGGAAAACTGTCAAATAGGTCCTCGAACTTTCATAAAAAAGTCAATTAAGTCCTTCTATAGGAGACTCTGTCTGGTCGTTGATAAGTCTGATTTGTTCATATATTTTCACACACTTTTTAGAGCATTTCTGGTTAAACTCGGGGCAAATAGATACATTTCTCTGTATTTTTGTTGCATTTTTGTTAATGTTTAAAATTCGTGTTGAAGTTTACATTTTTGAGTGATTTGTGTTTACTTTAAGTGTTTGGATTGATTTTTTTTCCTCCTTATTTGTGTTATCTATATTTTGTTATTTGTCAAATTTCAGCTTGCTTTTATATTTCAATTTGATATCTGTTAGTACATTAAACCATTGAAATTAAGTAAAAGAAAAAAACCAAATAAAAAAGGGAGAAAACCAAAAACTTGCAGCAAGGCTGCGTGAACAAACAAATTGCAAACAAAAGAAAAAAAAATGATGAGTGGAGTAGAAGGAGCCAACAAAACAAAGGAGAGGGGATTTGCATCTGATCTAGCTTGTCAGCCGCAGGAAAAAAAAGAAAACAGGGTAAGTCGGCAGCAAAAACAACAAAAGCCATCTACTGGGAAAGCTGGTAGTAGCAGCAGCACATGGCTGCGGCCAAGTCAAAAGGAAACAAACAAAAGGAAGCTGCAGTCACTCCAGCTGCAAGGAGATGGGATTCGCAACCAGCTACTTGTTTCAATCACTCAGCGGCAAGAATAAAAAAGGGAGGTCAGGTCACCAGCGGGGAGAGAGGCTTAGCAGCCCTTGCCCGAAACAGAAGAAAAAGAGCCGCAGTTGCGAGTAGCGGCAAAGAACTTTCAGCGGCAAGAAGAAAGAAATTGTAGATCCATCGTCCACCGAGTGAGAGCAGCTGGCCGGAGGGGGGAAAACAAAGCTGGTACCATAGAGAAGAAACCCTCGACCAGGAAAAGTAGCAGATTTCAACAACAATAAATTTCGGTTTATCTTTTACCAACCTTTCTATTTCTATCCGTAGACTGTATTGTTCTATGTTTGATTTCTTTCTTAAAATCATGTTTATTATTTCAGTTTATGAACTTGTTCTTTTAATTCATTAGTTTCAAATATTTCTCCAGTTTGCACTTGAGTTAATGTTTACTAGTTCGAATTTCAGTTTTAAATACATGCAATGGATATTATGTACGGTTTGTTTTTGTTTATTTGTGTTAGTTTCTTGATGAATATGTTAGGCTAAATCTTCATGGGGTTTGGATTTGGATAAAATTTAGGTTAATGGGTGTTCTTGAATATTGAGTTAAATTTGGGAAAATTCTCTATTTTTAAGACTAGTTGTTTGAGTTGAAATTGAAAGAGTAATTTGTGAAATTGATCACTTCACTTGTGAATTTTTGGAAGATTAATTCTTTCTTGTCTATGAGTTTGGAATTAATTTAGCTCATATCTCACACACCCTAAACTAAGCCTTGAAATAGGACATGTTAGGGGAATTAAAATTAAATTCTTGTCTATGAGAATTAATGTCACTATTCTTAGATTGGAGAAATTATCCCATTTTTATTCATAATCAATGACACCCAAGATCCTTAATTCCAAATCTAGACCCCACTTTTAATTAGTTAATTTATTGTCACTAGTCACATTGCATTTACTTTTACTATTTTTTTTGAAACTTTACTCATACATATGTTTGCTAGTTTAATATTTTCATTAGTTAATTTTCTCTCTCAAGTTATTTTGCATGCTCACTAGTTTTAGTTTACTCAATAATGCCATTTAATTAAATTCGTAGTTTTTACTTTTATTGTTTATTTTTATTTGGTTAATCATTAATCGTTTGAGAAAGCTTGCAAGGACTCGTACTAACCGGTGACCGATATTGAAACCAACACTTCCCTCCGCCACTCTTCAGAGACACGATACTCGGGGATAAACTTTTCCATCCGGAAAGGTTAAACTCCGTTTTACTACAACGCCGCGAAAGCGATTATCAGTCGTCGCGATTTGGGACGGTTCCCGGTGGAATTTTTTGATGAAATGTTTTGAACATCTTATTCATCAAGTCTAGTTTACTCATACCAAATTTCAGCTAAAATTAAATCGGGAGCACATTCAAATTAATTCAAAAACGCAAAAATGCGCAGTTATCTTCAAGAATTATTTTGAATGTGTTCCCGATTGAATTTTAGCTGAAATTTGATATGAGTAAACTAGACTTGGTGAATAAGATGCTCAAAAAATTTCATCAAAAAATTACACCGGGGACTGCCCCAAATCGCGACGACCGGACAGAACCTCCTATAAAAGGACTTAATTGACCTTTTTATGAAAGTTCAAGGATTTGAAATAAGCGTGACATTTTACTTGTTGCAGTTATGTTCATTCTGTCAAACTTTGTAACTTAACACATTCCTTTAATACGTATGTTTTTCTTTATTCATTATTTTATTTGATGCGTTTCCCGATTATGCAATTTTCATTTGTTTTTTATTTGTAGAAAACGACTTTTATAGAAAATATTATGGAATGATTTTCCAGATTAAGGAGCTTGTAAGATACTCTAGCTTGTAAAATATTATGGAATAATTTTGTAAGATTAAAAAATGCAGAAGATAATAACAATGGGCTTAGCATCCGCGGACGAAACCTAAATTCTCGAACAGAGAGGGTAAAGGCTTGGGTGTGAAATGATCAGTTTTTGGTTCTTGCTCATGGGGTCTGTATTTGCTTTTCAAAATTTGTGCATCATCAACTTTTCATCTATCATTTTTTTACAGTTTTCATCTATCCTTTTGTAAAGTTGTGCAATATATATGCTGATTTATGTGCCTTTATAGCTTAACCCTGTTTATTAATTTTATGGGTAAGTCGTCAAACGGTTTGGCGAGTTACCCCGACCATGGTTAAGTCCAGCAGTATATCCGTAAATACTTAATTAATTAGCATTAATACGGAAAAAACTCCATTATTACATCCCAACTTCCTTTCATGTACTTTATTACTGTTATTATTATTATTTGTTTGTTTTCATTATGAGGAAAGTAGACTTACAAAGTACAAACGTTGTACAGAGTATTAAAGATTCAAAGTTCTGGCACCCGCTTAGATATGCCGTGGGATACCAATCCAAGATATAGATAAAGTATCCGAAGTGTTAATGCCAACACCCAAAAAAGTTCTGGCATCCGCTTAGATATGCCGTCTTATTCGTATTTTAATTTTCCAGCAATCAATGTCGCACAATCGCATTTTTTATTTATTTATTTTAATTGCTGAATTTAATTAATACTTAATTCCCTTTTTCCGTCCCTGTGGAGACGATACTCGTACTTATACCCTTTACTACAATCTATTTTAAGTGTGAGAAAACTCACATCATAAGGCTAATTTGGGAGTTAGGGTTGGTAATGTGGGATGAATCAGAATCAGTGGTTTCTACCATCGTGATGTGTAAACTGAGGCTCTGATACCATGTAGGTTTTAGGAATTAATCTTCCTTGAATATTATTGAGCCATCCGGCAATAGTATATATACAGAGTACATATAACAACCTTACTGTTCAGATCCTAAATAATACGATAGTATTAAGTGTGTTTAGTCAGGACTTAATAAAAAATGGTAAACACCCCTGAGATAAAAAGATAAACTAAAGAAGACACAATTATATTATATTTTACAACAACAACAATAAGTATCAAGTAAAACTAGTACTTCGTATTTCTTTCGTCATTGCCTGAACTGATTATTTCATTTTTTTTAAAATAACTGATTATATCATTTAAACAGTAAGTGTAACATAGTTTCACAATTAAATAAGTTCATTTAGCTAATTGAGGGTAATTTGGTACTTCGAACTCTGGCCCGGGTGGAAAAGTCCAAAATGCCTCTCAGTTTCATCCCCGCTTTTCTTGTTTTCATCATACATGGCAAACAGGTACGTCTCAATTGAGTTTCTCTTCACATGATCGATTAGATTTTTGTAATAAGTTCCAGCGTTTTCCGGTGACGCGTCAAATCCGCCCGCCGACGGCCACCCACTCTCGGAGACGACGATTCTCACATTCTGCCCACCGGCCTTTTGAACCGCGGCCCGCATGGAATCGAGCATCGCATCGAAGAGGTTTCGGTACCCGGCCGAATTTGGGTTGGTCTCGGTGAACAAAGCGTACGGCAGAGTGTTATGGGCCGGGTCGCCCTTCCGGCCGAAGTAAGGGTAAATGTTGGCTAGCAGCGGTGACCCCTTCTCGGCTAGGAATTTCACGATCGGATTCATCAGATCCTTCGCGTCGTCGTTGAATATCCCTTGATTTGGAGGGTAGGTGTTGGTTAATACGGCGGAGTAGGTGGCGGTCGTTGCCCTAATTCGGCCCTGCAACCCGGCAGCGGACAAGGCGTCGTGCACATTCTTCAAGGCGGGGAAGACGTATTTGACGTATTGAGAGGAATCCGAGTTTTTGGAGTAGACTTCGTTCCCGACGGCGACGTATTTGAAACTGACGTCGGAGTAAGGGACGATGTTATTCTGGACCCAACGGGTGGCTCCGGCGGGATCGGCGAGTTCAGGGAGCCTGTCGTTGGAAACGTCGACGATGACGTCGATTCCAGTGCCCCTTAAGGCGTCGAAGACTCGGGAGTCGGCGCTGTAGACTCGGAGCGCTTGGATTCCGTTCCTCTTATAGAGATTTATGGTATCAGATTCCGATGGTAAGTTGTCGCCGTTCTTCCCGTAACAAACTCCGATCGATTGCACTCCTGCATACGATGGTTAACAAAATTGAGAATAAGTTTATACGTGTATACAATAGAAAATCGAATTAACATTGAAGTATTTAAATGAACATAACGTTAATATGGGGATCAGTTTGCAATTTTTAGACATATACAAAGTATAATCTTTTTTTGGGCTAGTTTATCAACATTATCGATTAATCATTTAATTAAGTACTCAACTTTTGATATGGTATCTTGAGTTAACTATTACGAAGTATATTTGAATCGCAATTTCAGAGATTAGGGAGGCAGCAAGTCTGGCCTGTGGAGGATTATTAGTTCAGAAGATACTCTGTATTAGAGTTATTAGTTTAGGGTTTCATAATATTTCTTTTTCTTTTGTTAGGCGATCAGTGAATATGGTTATCCATACATTAGCTAAGGGTGCCTATTGTATGTTTGACAGTCAGATTTGGGTGGATAGTGGATACTCCTCCGAACTGTGTTGTGGATGTTTTGTCTTTTGATAAGTCCACACAAAATAATCCTAAACTACTTATTTTATCCAATTATACTATGAGTTTTTTACCAGAATATTACTAATAAAAACATATTCACATAAATATGACTATTCATTACTACAACTTAGTATTGTGGTAACTAAGTTCAAAACTTGAACATGAATCACTATGATTTCATTACTACTCTAGTAACTAGTCATATTTTTGTAAACCATCTTTATTTTGGTCATATTTATGTAATTATTTCTTATACTATTTGTTCAACACACAAAATTTTCAATGTCCGATGAAAAGACTATTGAAAATGTTTCTACTTAGACTGAAATTTTCAAGTTTAATCTAATCTTGTCTAAACTAGTTTGAATATGTCTTATAACTGTCGAAGTATGACCTCATATGTTAAAATATGATTTGTTTTGTCTTATAATAGACTTTTTCATACAAGCAAGAACTATATTAATTGGAAATATGTAGCCACCCCTAGACCTTATTAGTAAGGGCCTCAACTCTCAACATGTAGTGGACCTAGGAAACGCGTGTACAACTGTAATAAACTATACTCAATACTCGATAGGTAGCTAGCTCAACATGCAACAATAACTTAGGGATCTTGTTTCTACACATTTTTTAGTGAACCGGTTCCCTACAAACACACTCCCCCGTATCACATATATCTTCCCACTTCCAAAGTGGGTGGGATTAAGAATAGTAAAAGGGAATATAAATTATTGAGGGTATGATGGGAATATAGTGAAATAATGTGATGGAATGAAGGATAAATCCAAAAAAGTAGGCGTAATAGTGTATTAGTTTTTAAATTATGAAATAATTACATAAATATGACCAAAATAAAGATGGTTTACAAAAATATGACTAGTTACTAGAGTAGTAATGAAATCATAGTAATTCATGTTCAAATTTTGAACATGAATTACCACAACACTGTGTTGTAG